AGATCTGACCACCTGGAGTTAGATCTGACCACCTGGAGTTAGATCTGTCCACCTGGGGTTAGATCTGACCACCTGGAGTTAGATCTGACCACCTGGAGTAATCAGGTCTCTCTTGTAAATGAGTCCTCGAGGCTCAATGGGATTTACCTGTATAAATAAAGGTTGGTTGATTGGAGTTAGATCTGTCCACCTGGAGTTAGATATGTCCACCTGGGGTTAGATCTGTCCACCTGGGGTTAGATCTGTTGAAGATCATTGTTTGTACGTCTTGGTAAATGAAAGTCTGGCACCAGAAGAGCTGGACTTTGTTCTGCTGCTCCATCAGACTCTGAATAAAGCCTGACATGGTCTCTAATGGGAGGTGTGCATGAAGTTGGATGTTTGGAGCTGCACGTTCACTGACCTCTCTGTCAAACTGGGAGAGCGGAGCATCGCCACAGTCCACGCCTCCTCCAGACGACAAGGAGCTCTCTGAGGGGGAGGTCATGGTCTGCCTTTTGGACCCGTAGCTTCCTCCGGACAGCTCCCGGCGCAGAGCGCTGCCGTTCTGAGAGGACGAGCCTGGAGGAGACAGGAGGACGCACTGAGTCTCACACACAGCTGAGGGACACGTCATCTCTGCTGTCACTCACGTATGCCCAGCCCGCTGCTGGCGCTCATTGAGCGGCCCGGCTCGGCCCGGTTCTTGGTGATGGAGGGGATGCTGACAGATCCGCTGAATCCTGCACGGCTCTCCTGAACGCGCACATTCTGGTGGAAACCGGTAGAAACAGGAGTGAGGAGGTTGCACAGCACAAGATCCTACTGAAGACGTGTGGACACAAAGACACGGGGACAGGGTGAGTACCATGGGCAGGTCTTTGAGGATCTGGATCCCGTCTCCTGGGCCCATGTGAGCCACGTGGTTGAAGTTGGTGGGGTTGGAGATCAGCTTATTCCTCATCTCTGGGTCTCGCAGCATCTCTCTGGAACCACAAAGAGACAAACTGGTGAGCAGAATCTCAGCAGGACCAGCATAACATTTAAACAAAGACCAGTTCAGTCATGTAGAGTCCAGCTTGGTGCCTGGAGTCTGGAGATGTTGTTACTGTGAGAAGAACAACGAGGAACATTGTTGTTGGAATAATGTGACCTTCATGTGCACCAGGCCCAACTGGGTCACATGTTCTGATTCTTTGACTGTGGGTTTTAGTACAGCTGCTGATCTGCTGCAGGTAAAGAAGCTAAACTCTGGTAAGGACAGGAAACCCTCGGGTCCAGACCTCCTCTGCTGCAGGCGCTCCTCTTCAGGAACCCTGAAGGAGAAGCGCCTCTTGTTGTTCATGCTGCGCAGCATCTGCTTCCTGCTGTTGTCGGACGTCTCCGGGACGACTAGCTCATCGCCCTCTGAAACCAACAACGAGGAGCTTTAATCTCACTTCCTGACAGCTCTTCCTGTTCAGAAGCTTCACACAGAGACGCAGACTCACCAGCCATCTTGTTTCTGAAGTACACCAGGCGCACCGTCTCTAGGCCCAGCAGGTTCAGAGAGCCGTCGACATTCAGAGGTCGCACCTGCCCGATGAGAAACATCCAACATTAACATCTTTTCATCTGTGACAGCTTAGCACGAGAATACAAACGAACAGTTTCCGGAGATCAGACTTTGTTCTTTATTACTCCAGCAGGTGGAGCCCAAACCTTCTTCAGAGGGATGGTCTGGATCCACTCCATGGTGTTCACATCGAACACATCTACAGCGTTCTCACTGTACACCGACAGGTAGGGGGCGTTGTAGCCTGCACAAGAGAAGAACGTTACACCTGCAGCCGTCCACAGCACGGCCTCCATCTTTCCTGCACTCACAGGCAGCGTTGGGCACGGCCGGCCACATGAGCTCCTGCTGCCGCGACCTGCGGCCCTGAGAGTCCACGTACACCCCGATGGCGCTGAAGCACAGCAGCAGCTCTTTGCTGGAAATCTCCACGGCACACAGGGCGCTCAGGTTCTGCTGCGGGATGAAGGCCAGGGTGTGGTCCTCGTGGTGGAGGAGGCTGACCGGGGACATGTCGCCATGTAGACTGCACAAACAATACACCGTGTCCTAAGGAAGAACTGAATCCTCTGCTGGTGTTTGGCTCCAGAGGTAAACAAAGAGTACCTGTAGCGCATGAAGCCGGACTGGTACCCCACGTACAGGCGCTCACTGAGCAGACCCATCCACTGGACAGGCCCTGGGGCCGGCAGCTCCCGCAGCATGCGGTGACGAGATTTAGCCTTATTCACCTGTGGAGAGAGGGGAGTAAGGAAGGAAGAAGCTCTCTCAGGACACTGAACGGAAATATAAACAATACTTTTGTTTCTGCTCCAATTTTTCATGAGCTGAACTCAAAGATCTGAGAGTTTTTCTCTGTTCACAGATCAGTTTACATCTGTTAATCCTGGTGTTTCATCAGGTGGGTCACAACTAAATTGTATTTATATACCAGTATACATACATATCCAACCAGCTGTCAAAGTGGGATCTGATTTACATCGTAGGGTTGTGATGAATGATTTAGATTTTGATGGATAAAGTGTCTGAACTATCCTTTTAAATCTCAAGGATGAGCCGTGCCTTTTCGGTTCGCAGCTGCTGAGGTCAACAGGAAGCTGCATCGTCCGTTGTGCAAGCTGGTTTCTCACCTCGTAACAGATGATTTTACTCTTCATGGCCACACATAGGCAGGTGACAGAGCCGTTCCGGACTGGGCCAGAGACGATGGTCTGGCAGTTCTTTGTTTCGGCCAGTTTGTTGGAATCCATCTCACGGCCGTCCACAGCCTGCGTGGGGATGAGGCGCACGTGGCGGTTCCTGCCAGAGATGACGGCCAGCAGCTGTTCCTGGGGCATCAGGTCGATCTGGTAGACCTTCTTGTTGTCCCCCACACGGATTATTTCTAAGGATGGATGGAGGAGTGAGCCAAGCAAGGACAGTGGGTTGGATATTATGAGTTTGCGTCCTCTAGTCAAAACTGTGGAATAAAACTTCAAAAATTAACAAAAGAAAATGATGTGCAAGTTGGATCTTACCATCTTTGGTTACATGAATGACATAAAGCCCTTCTTCGTTGCCCAGGGCGACACGTTCATGATCTGAAGGAGAAAAAGAGCACCGCATATGGCATGTTACACACCTGCTGACAATCTGTTACACAGCAATCTATAGCACTGACCCGGGCAGGCATGGACCTCATTTTAACTTTAACCTTGATTTGCAGGGGTCTGCATAGGCAACCTGTTTTTGTCTGGGACAACCAGATCTCACCCTGAGGTTGTCCGCTGGATGACCAGGTGAAACAGACGTGGATTAAAGTTCTCCATCGCTGCAATGGATTTCTGTCATCTTTAAAAATGAAAGCTGTAAATTAATGTGTTTTGTTGTGGTTTTGTCAAAGCATCCAACTACAGATGATAAAGATTAAACTGATACTGCTTTCAACAAAGACACGCAGAGTCACAGTTTGAGCCAATCAGAGCAAAGCAGGGCAGGGCCTGCTGTCTGATACACGGCAGGTGATCTCTGTGTTCCTGACTCAGGGACAGACCGCAGGTGAGAACACCCAGCAGGGTTTCCTGGACTGTTTTCCGAGGAGGACACCCCGCTACTCTAACCAAAGATGATGACATGTAATAAATTATTAAACGTGATCGCACGTGACTGATTCACTGCAGTCGGGGAGATACCAAAACTGATACATGATCACCCTCACCCCAGTCTCCTGTACCAAGCCCCCAAACTCCTCAGGACTTTTGTATCTGAAGTCCAACTTTCTATAAAATGTTAATGTGTTCTGAGTATCATCATCGTACAGTCATGTGTAACTTTAATCATGTAAATCTAAAGGACTGCCTCCCAAGGTTTTACCAGCATGTGGCTATACCAACACGTGGAAACAACACGCTGGACCATGTTTACATGAAGGTAAAAGATGCATACAAAACTGAACCCCGCCCCCGCCTAGGATTCTCTGATCATATCTCAATCTTCCTGGCTCCTGCTTATCTTCCCCCGCTGAGACGCTCCAGACCAGTACAAAAGAAAGTTAAATGTTGGATCCAGGACAGTGTCCTCATAGTGAGAGACTGTTTTGAACAAACAGACTGGGAGGTTTTCAGAGAAGCTGCTGAAAATGGAGGATCGCTTGATCTGGACCAATAAGCATCCTCAGTTCTAGTTTACATTTAAACATGTACTGACAGTCTCCACCATCAGATATGTTAAAAGTTACCCTAACTGAAAACCTAGGCTGAATGCAGAGGTGTGCACCCTGCTGGAAGCCAGGAACACTGCCTTCAGGTCTGGAAACTCACAGGAGCTGAGTAGGACAAGGAAAGAGCTGGTTGCTGGTATTAAGAGGGCCAAGGCTACAGATGCACAGAGAATCGAGGGTCAATTCACCTCACAAGACCCTCTGAGCATGTGGAGGGGCATTAAGTGCATAACAGATTATAAAGGAAGGAGCGAACAATGCCCCAAAGACCCATCTCTGCCTGATGCCCTCAACAAGTTCTATGCACGCTTTGAAAACCCAAACAGACCACCCAGCACCAGACTCACCTCACCACCGGATGAAGAGCATCTCAGCGTGACCTCAGCAGAAGTAAGGAGTACCTTCAGGAGGATTAATCTGCACAAGGCAACCGGCTCGGACAACATCCCCGGAAAAGTGTTGGAAGAATGTGCCAATCAGCTCTGCGAGGTGCTGGCAGACATCTTTAACACCTCACTTACCCTGGAGACAGTTCCCACCTGCCTGAAGACTGCCACCATCATCCCAGTCCCAAAAAGCTACAGTGACTGGTCTGAATGACCATCGGCAAGTGGTCCTCACCCCGATAGTTGCTAAATGCTTAAAAAAACTGGTCATGACCCACATAAAAAAAACCATCAACATCGAGGACCCTCATCAGTATGGATGCCGCGAGAACCGATCAACAGAGGATGCAACCTCCTCTGTGGTCCACACTGCGCTCAACCACCTGGAGTAGAAGGACTCTTACGTCCATATGCTCTTAGTGGACTTCACATTTGCCTTCAACACCATGATCCCCCAAACCCTGATGGATAAACTATTCACACTAGGACTAAGCCCCTCCATTTGCAACTGGGTACTAGACTTCTTAACAAACAGACCACAGTCAGTGAGGATCCACAACTTCTCCTCCACCACCATAATCCTCAGCACTGGCTCTCTTCAGGGATGTGTGCTGAGCCCTCTCCTGTTTACTCTGCTCAAGTATGATTGTGCAGCTACCCATCCAGGCTGTCACATTGTAAAGTTTGCAGATGATACAGCGGTGGTGGGATGCATCACAAACAATGATGAGTCCAGCTACAGGCAAGAGGTGGAACACCTGGAGAGCTGGTGCAAAGAGAATAACCTTCACATCAATGTGAAGAAGACAAAGGAGATGATTGTGGACTTCAGAAGGAACAAACACACCTACACCCCCCTGAACATAAGAGGATCTGCGGTGGAAGTGGTCTCCAGCTAAAAGTACTTGGGTGTACACATGAATGACAACCTCAGTTGGAGTCAGTCTCCCCACCATCACAAACATCTACACCTCCAGATGCAGGAAGAGAGCCACCTGCATTATGAAGGACTCCACTCACCCAACACACACACTTTTTGCCCCGATCCAATCAGGAAGGAGGGGTAGAACCACTAGACTGAGGAACAACTTCTACCCTGAGGCTGTACAGGTCTGTAATGGTGAAGAGAGAGCTGAGTCAAAAGGCAAAGCTCTCAATTTACCGACCGATTCTACGTTCCTACCCTGATCTATGCTCATGAGCTTTGGGTTGTGACCGAAAGAACGAAATCTCGAATACAAGCGGCCAAAATGAGTTTTCTCTGCAGGGTGTCTGGGCTCTCCCTTAGAGATAGGGTGAGAAGCTCAATCATCCGGGAGGGACTAAGAGTAGAGCCGCTGCTTCTCCACATCAAGAAGAGCCAGTTGAGGTGGCTCGGGCATCTGGTTAGGATGCCTCCTGGAAGCCTCCCTGGTGAGGTGTTCCGGACCCAGAGGAAGACCCAGGACACGCTGGAGGGACTATTGCCCCTTTTCCATTAGTACCGGTACGGGCCGACTGGACCCTACTTGGCCCGGTTCTGAGGCTTTTCCATTAGTACCGGTACTTAGCACCTGTTACTATTTTCAGTACCCTTGGCTCTGTGGTTCTAACCGGAACGAAGAGGTACTAAAACGTGACGTCAGAACACTGTCGGTCACTGATTGGTCGGGGGCGGAGTCACTGGATCCTTCAGAAACTTTTCAAAACAATAATCCGCCATTTGCAATTTCTCGGACTTGAGCAGCGGCTAGACTTATTTTAAAGATTTTAAAAACAATACTGACAACATCTTGGTCTAATACTGATGTGCTGGCATTTTTTGTGCATGGTGGCCGACAACATAATTCAGAGCAAGCTGGATGGAGCTCTGCTGGTCTACCCCGATCCTCCCTCCGGAGCCTCGGAGCACCAGGCCGGGCAGGGCGTCATCTCCCCGGCTCCAAGTTCAGCTGGTCACCGCGGAAGATCCATCGATGTGCCAACTCGGAGGCTCGGGTTCCGGATACCAGCATTGTGTGCTCAGAGCTCTGCTGGTCACTGGGAAGCTGGAGATGCGGACTCGCAGATGGCCGTTGCGAGACCCCGGCCGTGGGTAATAATGAAGGCTGAATCCCGATCCCACCCGGCAGTCAGGCGGACTGGACAGTCTGGGACGGACGGTGGAAGCGATTTTTAAATAAAAAAATATTTTGTTTTTATACAAAAAATGTTTTAAAAAATTGCTGAAGCAATTTAAAAATGATTATTATTTTTTTTACACGTAAAATGTTTTTTAAAATCGCTTCCACCGTTCGTCGCAGACCCGTCTCTGTCTGCCTGTCTGCGCGTGTCGGGCCTTCATGATTACGCGCGGCTGGGGTCTTGGAACGGACTCTGTGAGCCACCAGCTGAGCTGGAGCTGGGAAGATGAGCCTGCCCGTCCTGTCTCCGGAGGAGAGGATAGTGTGAGACCAGCAGAGCGTTGAAGATTAAAAAAAAAACAAAAAAAAAACGGTGCCAGCTTCGCAGCACGATGGCGCAACTGGTAGAGCTGCTGCCTCTCAGCGAACAGGTCCCTGGTTCAAACCCCGGTCCAGGGGCCTTCTGGGTGGAGTTTGCATGTTCTCTCCGTGCATGCGTGGGTTTTCTCCGGGTACTCCGGTTTCCTCCCACAGACCAAAAACATGCATGTTAGGCTGATTGGTAACTCTAAATTGTCCCTAGGTATGAGTGAGAGAGTGAATGGTTGTTTGTCTTGTTTGTCTCTATGTGGCCCTGCGATGGACTTGCGACCTGTCCAGGGTGTACCCCACCCCTCGCACAGTGATTGCTGGACATGGGCACCAGCGACCCCCGTGACCCAAAATGGAATAAACGGGTAAAGATAATGGATGGATGGTGCCAGCTTCATCATGAAATACTGTTTTCACTTTAATGACTGTTAACTCAGCTGAAAATCATAAAAAGACACAAAACTATTGGATCTCAGGAATATTTCCCTCAAACATGTTTAAAGAAAAGAGACGACCTTCAGTTCAACTTTATTTTAACCCACAAATGTACAAGTCACAAAACAAGAACTTTAAAGCAAAGCTAAAAATAAAATGCATATATGTGAACAAGAAAGAAAACCACACATCTAAAATGAACATTAAAGTAGACACATTGAGTGCAAATACATCAAATGATGATGAAAACCTATAAAAAATTAAATCTAATGTTTTTGTAGAATCTGGTTCATCAGAGTTTTAATTTATATACATATATATATACATATATATATATATATATATATATACATATACATATATATATATATATTTATATCTATAAATATATATAGATAAATACATATATATGTATATAAATATATATGAATATATATAAATACATAT